TGCTCTCCATGTCTGCGATTATCATTTCATTTCGTCGGTTTCCTGTCATCAATGGTTTGGAAAACATATCCCACGGATCGGCAGTGAACTGATCCAAAGACCTAATCTTGGGCTCATCTTTCAGGTATCGCTCCATCTCTAACATTGTCTGAAAGCATTCAAATACTTGTATTCAAACCATTTCTCACACTTTCATAATAACTATATTATATATTGTAATATACTGTACGTGTAATCGTGTGTTCATTCAAATTAAATCTTATAAATATAAGTGTAACCAAATGTTGTGTTTAATGCAAGTTCACTATTTAATCCTTAACTTATTATAACTTATATAGTTTTGCAAACAATTATATGTAATGTAATTATATTAATTATAATAAGTTATTACAAACCAAAGTTAAATCAATTAAAAAGTTCTAATAAATAGGAGATATTAAATAAATGTATGCCAAATGACTATAAGTTTTAGAATTAGAAAAATAGGTGAGTATTAGAAATGTTGATAAATTGTGTAAATGAATGAATGAATGATAAGTGGAAAAGTGTTTCAACAAATAGTGACAACTGATTGTTAGGATTAACTGTTTATCGTTGGGTATGCAGTCATACACTTAGGAATGCAATGTTTACATCATATCATCACAACTAGAGTCCCACATCTATACAGTACATGCCATCCCTTCCCTATACACCCATTGTTGGCAAACACGCTATCGCTATGCCGTGTATTGCGGCCAACCCTGGCCTCGACACCGACCAACACCAACCCCACCAAACCATTAGCTAATCATTATAATAGTCATACATTTCTACATTACTGTATTGTTGCACATATAGTAATGCAAGTTAATAAACAATATTTCATATATCAATACATTTTGACAATTATTATCAAAATACTATCAATTCATTGCTTCAATAGAGAGCTTATAAAACATTAATACAAACAGGATTTACGAGCAATTGATGGCACAGGTATTGCCTTCCGTTCCCGGGTTTGAGCGGTTGTATGCTTTCCCGGACAACCGTTTCAAACATGGGATAACTTATATGCCGTACATTCCGAGGAGGAATGGCAAGAATGGCAAGAAGGGGAGGGACGGGTCAATGTAAACAATGTTTGTGTCCATACCTGTTGCCACTTGTCTTCGAGAGAGAGCTGTGCCGACAGATATCCAGTTTCTTGGATGAGCTGAAGTTCTTTGAAGATGTGTCCGCTCGGAAGCACATCCATGTCACTGATCACTAGTGTTGTGACACTTGACTCAACATTCAGTTAATGGTAACAAACATTCAAATTTGAATCAACGGTTGTTTGTGTCTCAGACTTCATTTGGTGACAATAGTGTTGCCAATAGTGGTGTGAGTAGTGTTGCCAATGTCTTCACTCACATCAAAGCTTATGTTTGTAAATCGCGAACTCAACCAACAATTAGTTGTATTCAGACTCCGAGGAATGGGATGGGAATGGCCTCAACACCTCTGCGCCAATGCTATCACTGCACTCACTCCACACAACACTACACAACACTACACAACACTACATACAGTCTCTACAACACAACTACAGCCAAACACTTCTTCAATGAACACTCCATAGAGATGGCGAACACAGGAAATCATTGCGGCCTTCACTACAACACAGGCATCGCTACAACATTACTACAGCATTACTACACCATATATACAGTCTATACCATCACTGCCTTCACTCTCACATCCCTTCCCACTCGCAATCACTTACACTCACTTAGGGATGGCATCATATATGAAACAAATGTTACCATGTATTATTACATACAATGCTTAAGAACTAGTGAGGCTTGAGTGATGTAAGATGCTTAGCTCGGTGAGACAAAATTATATATTGATCTTATTGAGGAGATGTGTAGCTATGTTTAGTATATAGGCACTTATGACGTTTATCAAACAATAAAAAAGTTTTCCTGTTTTAATAAATTTTTTGAACAATTTTTTTCTTACTTTTTAAAAAATAAAATGCTCTAAATTTTAATTGATAATGGCAAATTTTCTAGTATATGTGGACATGGGCTAGTGTTATTAGAATATGAAGACAGAATCAAATTAACTTGATTAATTCTTTTAATAACTACTTTTACATGATTATTTCTTAAAATAAATAATAATTTATTTTTACAATTTTAAAATAAATTGATAAAATAGCATAAATTTATGTGAATTTTGTCCATTTTTAGAAAATTGATAAATAGTTTGGCAAATGGTCCATTTTGTATGGTGGCAAATCTTGCCATGTATAATACATGAATAGTACATGGAATAGTACACATGTCTTATTGCCCCCACCCTTCCAACACACCCACAACCCCTCACATCCCACCCCAACCCCACCTCACCATCACTTGTGTCTATTCAGTGCATTCATCATATGGTTTCGGGTCTAGTCTTGTCCACCGGTAGCCGCAGTTCACTCACCAATCATTTGCTTCAATGTATATATTCAGAGGGCGCTATCAATNGCACTCTGGACTTTGAATCCAGCGATCCGAGTTCGAGTCTCGGTAGGACCTCTTTTATTTTACATTATTTAATCAAAACTCTATTTATTATGATTTAAAACATTTGTGCAAATGATAAAACAAATTACAATAGATGTTACATAAGATATTGATAACATAAAATAATAACAATGATATTGATAGAATTAGTTAATACATAAATTAATAATAAATAATACGGTAATACCCTGTTTGTGATAAATATTGTGATTTCAAATACAAAGTTTATATCGAATAAAAAAGTTTACATTATTGTTATTACAATACAATTTGTATGAATAGTGTGTACAGAAATTGTTAATTTTTTGGTCCACTTTAAAAGCACTAATAATTATTGTTATATTTATATTGACTAAATTGACGAGTATTTTGACTTAACTTTTGTTTAAACAAATGTAGGATTAGTGCAATCTTTGTTCTCAGTTCGCTGTTTAATGCTTTAATATATTAATTATATAATTACTTCCAATTGATTGAAATGAATACAATTTGGGGCTAACCATCACTTTGCCAAACTCGGCAGGTTAGATATTTGTAAATTGACATGGTTGCTATACATGATGTATGTGTCCTATCCCTATTACTCCTTTTGAATCCATATGACACACAATTCGGTATTTATAAGTAAAATACTAATTGGCTTCCAATGGTTGAGATCATTATAGACTCATGTATTAGACATGAGAGAGTGGTATTTGTTTGCTGTGATTGAGATGACTGGCAGTTGTTATTTGTTTTTGCTTACAATGACGCGAAGTAGAGATGGCCAGTTGTGAGCCACCGATGATGAGCTGACTCGCGCCACTCCTAGTGCTGGCAGAGCTGGTGCCACAACATAGACGTGCGTAGAAACGCGCCCACGAGTCGATCGTCTTCGTAGACC